GCCACTTAAAGATACATTCTCAAGATTATATTGAAAAGAGTTGTGATGAAAAAGAAAAGTAAAACCCACACTCTGTCATCAAAATTTTATAGGGAAGTATTCTTTTTTCTTTTATAATATTTTATATCAAATAATAGACATACAAAGAAAAAGAACCAAAGAATATAAAGGACCTAATAACAAGCCAGTTTCCCAACCAACTTTCCCCCATCTTCTTCCAGGAACCTGAGGCAAATCATTTCCATTTCAACTGTCCTTTTAGTTCTTTGGTGAGATCAGTTAAATAATGCTACCTTTGTTTTATACTAAAATTGTAACCCAGGGGTTAAGGGTTTTCCCCAAAGCACACAGCTCTCTCACAACAGTCAAGAATTAAACTCAGATTTTCTGATCCTCACTTTCCTTAGTTCTTTCCAACTTACTAATTTATTTACAGTCCCAACTTTGGACATTTTTTATTTTTGCAAGCTATTTTCACTGGAGTTTTACCAGATAAATTACCATATAAATTCTCATGAACCATAGTTTTCACCTAATTACCTCTAACAATATTTGAAAATTTTAAATAAGAGAAAAAATATTTTTAATGTTGGAAAAGGAACAAGAATGATGGATCTTGGATGGTTAGATCAGGTTGAGTGTCCAGAACCTGTAAATAACTAGTTTTAATGTAAGTGAGCCAATAATGATCCCAAGCAAGTTAGATTCAAATTTATATTTACTCAAATTTTTGAACAGTAAGGTTGATAAATAAGAATGTCTACAAATTTTTACAATTAGAGATTATCAGCTGGGAGGAAGACGTTTTGACATTACATTAAAATTTTAAGTATCTTTAAAAAAATCCCTGGGAAGACTCATTTAAGCATTTGACAATGAACGATTCTAGTCATCTAAGTTACAGTAAATATTACCTCATGTGCATTTTCCAAGAAATTAGAATATAAATGACTGTTGTATCCTTATTTTAAAAAAATTGTCATATATTTAGAGCTAATAATAGAACTCCCATTTCATTTTCAGTTTGTCAAGTTTTATTAGAAATTGCTGGTTGTTGTTACAGCATGGATATAAATTTTGATTTCAATTTTACTGTCCATTAGTATACCAAATTACTTTTATTGAATGTTATCATTCATCAACCATGGAGGAAAAAGAGTATTTTGACAAAGAAATGCAATTGCACATGTAGAGAGGTCTGATTTTATTCAAACCATCCTTCAATATTCTCAGGGAAAATTACAAACATCTGTTAAAACTAGAAATGTTCTTGAACCCTTCCACATATTACATCTTGAACAGGATTCTAAAGAACAAGGCCAGATGATACTGGCCAAGTAACTACAAATCAAAGTGAAATCAATTCTAACTTGCAAGTATTATAAAAAGTCCAATAAATTTCTAAGTTTTTCTATATTGACTACGTCAATTCTTCCTAACCCCAGAATGATTCCTTATAAATTGTTCTATTCTTTGACTTTACTTGCTGTTCCCTTTGGGATTCAGCACTAGGATGTCAACCTCTTTCTTTTGGGGAGAGCTGGTCATTTTCCAGGGAGGTGGTCAGCTCTAGATTCTGTTTTGCCAAGACCGTCTTGATTTAAAAACTGAAAGTTTACTTGACCTAGTCATCTATTTTTGGGCATTTGGGTTGGTTCCAAATGTGGAATTCTATGGGGATTACACCTGAGAAAAGAAAGCAAACATTGTAACAACAACAACAAAGAATGATGTAAATAGATATAATTTTTTTTAAAACCCTGAAAATTTAGCAATCCTTTCAGTTGCTTGCAAACTCATTTTCAAAAGGGATTTCTAGAAAATGTAGCAAATTTTGTCAAAATTGTGCTTCTAAAAACTCACTTTACTAACATACAGAGGCACTTGATGTAGGAATGGATTTCAGCTCAATAAATCACTGGTCAAGATTAAGAATCATTGCATTACTACACAATGGTTTATTCTCTCTCTCTCTTTTTAAAGATTTATTCATTTACACAGAACTGGGATACAGGCCAGAGGTGCAGGGGTGGAGAGAGGATTCACCAGAGACAGAGTGGGAAGCAAAACAGGCAGATTGTGAAGTACACTGCTGAGGGGAGCAGCGGGCAGGTCAGGAGAGGTCTGCCACACCATGTGGATCACCTCCAGGGCAGGGATCAAACTCATGCTGAAGTAGCTTTAGCTTCTTAGTGTTGTGCTTTAACCCACTGCACCACCAGGGAGGGCCCAGTTTATTCTTTTTTCAACATATAAACATTTAAAGACATTCTTATTCAGGCTGCTTACCTGTCATATATTCATTGGGATGAAGTTCAGATGTTTCCTTGGGTGTTTGCATCAGGAAATAAAGGATTTTGTAAAAGAATAAAGTCTACATAACACTTTATTTCCGTCCCCATTTCATAAATGAGTTTTGTTCTTGCAAACAACTGCTTTAGAAGACTGATATTTTGCACTTTGATTAAAATCTTACTTTTAAAAACTTTCTAATACTTTGATATGAGCATCTATTTTTTTTCCTTAGAACCACAGTGTTATTTTAAATTCTACCCATAGTTTCCAGATTTTATTAAGGTAAAACTTACGTTCTTGGAAAAATATCACTCTGTTTCTGATTAATATTATAGGTGTTTTTCTCTACTGGCTGTACTACTTACTTTAGTTTAACCACTACTTTCTAATTTACTTAATAACATACCGCATAATCATGGCTTCTTCTTAAACGGAGTTTTCCTTGTGAATGCTAGCATAAATTTTAATGACACACCTATAAAGATCTGAGCACAAATATAAAGTAGAAGAGATGAAAAAAAATCTTGCAATCTTGCAATGTTAGCTTGATGATTGCTGTTATTATGCTTTATACTGAGTTCTTAAAATGCTTTTGGCATCTTTGAACTTCTATTCTTCCTACTCTGTCCTTTTCCTTTCCCACTCTTCTTCCTGTTATTTATTTATTTTTATTAAGAAACTAATGTAATCTTAAATCCCTGTTAAAATGTACATGTGTGAATTGGTGGTGGAAGTCCATGGGATTACAACTGAGATGAAAAAATGTACAAAATGAAGAATGATGTAAAATATATATACCTATAGGCCCTCCCTGGTGGCACAGCGGGTTAACGCACTGAGAATCTAAAGCTGCTTCTGCATGAGCTCGATCCCTGCCTGCCCCGGAGGTGACCACATGGTGTGGCAGACCTCTCCTGGCCTGCCCGCTGCTCCCCTCAGCAGTGTACTTCGTCAATCTGCCTGTTCTGTTCCCCACTTTGTCTTTGGTGAAGCCAATCACTGCCCCTGAGCCTCTGGCCTGTACCCCAGTTCTGTATGCACAAATAAAT